GATTACAATTGACGTAATTAATCTGTCAACCGAGCTACGAAATTATAGCCTGAAAACGATTAGTTTCGCGACAATTTAATTGTGCGCGAGTTGGCCGTTGTTGAGAAATTAGAGTGGCCAATAGAAGTCGCGGGGATGTAACATTTTAGCCTTTAAATGGTCCGAAATTGATTCTTGAAAATATCAAATTTGTGTTAGATATTGCAAATATGACTGACATTAAGTATCTGTAAACACAGAAGGCTTTAATTCATTATCTACTTCGTATTTATTTATTTTCTTCAAGTCCTTCATTAGCGCTTCCACGGAAGGGTTGGCAACTTAATTGTTAATTTTCTCCAACCCAGGCCAATATTTGGAATACAGAATCATATTTATGACGAAGCTGAGACTATATTTTCTTCCAGGAAGCACAGAGTTTTTCAATAGAATAAAGATGAGGGACTTTAGGAGAATTTTCGTCTTGCATGAAAAAATCTGGATATATTTCAATGTCGGCCCACGCAGTTCTTTTATTGTATACAAGCTAACGCAGGACCAAAAAATTAAACTTAGTTTTGTATTATGCTACAGGTCATAGGGAATCAGGTGGTATATCAACAATTTATTGAAATTAATCCTGGCGTTCATACAATGTATCCCCATTAAGATAGAGTACCAAGATCCGCTCCAACTGGCTCACCGTCTGCCAAACCATTGATATCTTTAGAAATATGAAAATGCGTTTTATTTTGTCTCCGGTTCTAACATTGGAACCATATTTGCTACTAAAAATGGCATTCCTGGAGGTTATGTCGGGCTTTTAAGGACACAACATTTTGAGAAAATTTTGTAGTACGGCTGGCGCCGTCGCATGCACATATATTCTTTACTTACTATCTTCGGTACAATTCTTTGCAAACATGTTTATATGTGTTTACACCCCCAATATGTAGGCTTTAATGTGATGTAAACAGTTTTGATTTATTTGCAACTTCTAGCTTCAGAATGCATAAACGTGGATGAATGTTTTTTTTTAAAGTTCAATTGATTTTGATTTTCTAGGGGTCGTAATGATGCAAATTTTTTATGGTAATTTTTTGAGGCTGACATTTTTGGATTCTACATACTTTTTTATGTTTGTTTTAATTTGTATACCCCAATACCTGTCGTCCATCAAATACGGTAGAATCTAATACATGTGAATGTCAGAGACATTTTAGGACTTCTGCAAAACTCGATTCAAGAGTTCGTTACTTTGAAATCGTGTAGGAAATTTGTTTTCCATTGAAAAGCTTTGAAATTTTTCCAACACGCAGCCAGATATAATTGGAATGTGATCCGAAAATTCCAAACTGCAAAAATTATTTTGTAACTACTTTCTAGCGAAAATGGTCTCATCGCCACGACTTTTAATGGCCATTCTACAATTGAAATTTCATTCCGATGGCTTGTACACGACAATTTCTTAGGACGCTTGGATTGTTTTGGGTAATACTTTAAATCATGTATGTACGCCAAACCAAACTTTTTGATATGAAAATTTAACGTTCAATCTTAATCAATTGTGCTTTGTTATGAATTATAATTTGTAATATTTCCACAATTTATGTATGACAAGAAAATATTATGTGGATAAAATGTATGTATGTATTTGGTGGGGTGACGATCCTGCCATTGATGGACAGGACTAATCAGCTGCGAAAGCAAATGCTGCTTATTGCAGTCTCCCCAATACACGGCACGTGCCTTAATGTGCTTCTGTGGATAAAAGGTAAACAACACGAATTTCCAAGAATCATCAATTTCTTTTCTTTTTTTATTAATATAATGATTAATATACATATTTATTTAACAAATACAGCCATACTTATGTATGCTCAAAGTCCTGTTTATCTAGTGCTTAGCTATCAGCCCTTGCGGGGCTGCCGCTTCGCAGGGGCCGGAAGCTTTCTCCGTCCCCAACTACCCCTAGTTACGCCACTGGACGCTCATTAGAAATGGAAAACGGTAAAGCCGACGATAAACCTCTAAATGAACATGGATCTTGATGTTTCGTGCTGAACAGTCACGAAATCAACTTCAAACTAATCGCTTAAAAAGCTTAAGATATATAAGCCTGAAAACTTAAAATGCGTGTGCAGACTCTGGGCCAACCCATATACATAGATCTGATTGAAGTACAACTTATGCATAAGTTAAATATATGTATTTATTGTTGTATATACAGGGTGTTTTTTAAGTAGCGCTACAATGGAAATTTTTCTATAGGAAAATTTAGTATGTTTCCATTAGTTACCAAAGATTTGCCCCTGAAAAGATACATTTATTCATGTTCTTTTGTTTGAACATTTTTGCCCAATGTCTTACATTTTGTTATTGAACACGAATAAATGTATCTTTTCAGGGGCAAATCTTTGGTAACTAATGGAAACATACTAAATTTTCCTATGGAAAAATTTCCATTGTAGCACGACTTAAAAAAACACCCTGTATATACCCCAGCCAATGGGTTACATATATATCCAATATTGTTACAGAATTGTTACAGAATGGGCATGTTGAGACCATATGTTGCTAAGAAAATAATTTTAATGCGATAATTAGTTCCGAAATGTATGAGTAATTCAAGTAAAGTAATTCAATATTTAGTGGTAGTCCCATGTTAAATTCGCAAAGATTTGAAAAAAATTATCACCCGAAGCATAATTCGAAATTTGGCTTATTTACATAATAGATAATAATGTAGTAGTTATTATAAAAACATACAATCTTTGTCTGCTCGTACAGTTTTCGAAATAGGAAGTAATTTTAGATAGTGTTGCGCAAAATTGTGCAAGAGAAGCAGTTCAGACTACATAAATGTGTCGACCACAACGTCTAGTGGCGAGTTGAGAATCGAGAGAGTGGAAAAGAAGAAGAAATAAGAGAGCGGAGAGGAAAGAGCATGGTCAGTATGTAGTAAGTACACTCTCCAAAATCCGGTAGAGTCATATAGATACTCCGTGCTGGTATTGAATTGGTAATCATTGCTACAGGACTAGAAATTATTTATTTCCGAGTGGTAAGTTTTTCATTACCGCTGTGTGCCGGTAAGCTACCAAGCAGTAATGATGGTTATTACGATGCCCGGTAGAGTCACATAGATACTCCTCGCAGTAATGATCCAAAAAAATCAATACCAGATTTCGGAGAGTGTACGTATCAAGTAAGTAAGTAAGAAGCTGGGACTTCATTGGCCTTATTACTGCAACAAATTATGCAACGTGAAGAAAGGACATTTCTGCATTATCATCAAGTCATCCGATAAGTAATTTACCGGGCTGGGATCTTACAAATCTAAAGATAAATTGGATATTGCTGGATCGGGCGCTACATGAGCAGCGCCGTAACACAGTGCCTTTGTCACGAAACAGTTGGATCTTCGTTTGTTCTGAAGTTGACGCCTACCTTACAAAACACCGTTTCTTATATACATATGTACATATATATATAACATACTTATCATAAATATTTAATTTACTCGATCATGCTGGACAATGTAATTACTTCAAATAGTAATACATGACTTATTGGACGACTTTATATATTATCAGGGACAACGGGTGCTCTTCTTATGTAAATACTACCAAACAAGCCCGTATCACGCCGGCCAACCAGCACATACTATTCTATGCATAATTATAACTCCATATATCAGAATTGGTTCATATCTTCTCCCCATACTTCCATAGGTCTGTTTAATCTATTTTCATACGACTACAATTCAAAAATTGGATTTAAAGCAAATTGTTCTAGAAGCACACTTGCCTCACATTTCCTGCAACTGGGGGGCAAGAGCGCGATCAATTTTAATGAAATTTCGGAGCCACTACCGGAGCTAATTTTTTTGATACAATTGGCACAATTAGTGTTGAGTTAGTATACAAAAAATGGGATTTTTCATCATGTAGTTTAGAAGAAATCAAAATTTTAAAATATTGGAAGAGAATTTTTGTTAATTTTTGTTAATTTTTGTTAATTGCAAATATGCGATTAAGAAAATTGATTCTGTGGCTGTTTTGGGGAAATTTGATATCGAAACTTTTGAAAACAATTACAAGTACTAAGATAACAATGTCCGCTGTTCTATTTGATCACAATTATTGTGACATCAAAGATATACATAAAGTGAATTAAAATGATACCATTCGCGCTCTTGCCCCACATTATCCTACAGCAATTTATATAATAAGTGTGAGTTATGAAAGTGTTAATAGTACTGAATGAGTCAGAGTGATGAGTGTGGTATTAAATCTTTTATCAATTTGTTTGTAGATAAGCATCACCACGTGCCACAAGCCGAGGATATGTGTCAACTTTATCAGTAATTAACTTGTTTCATGCATTATGCAAGGCCTGACTTAAACTACAAAAGCAGGAATCAATTATGATTGATCGTGTCGAACATAATTTGGCTATTATATGTACTGCCTTAGCATTTGTAACAGTTCAAGTTGTAAAAACGTTCGCGAATGTCTGGGTTGGAAATCAGATTGTTACCGTGCCAATAAAGATTTTTACACTCAAAATAACCTGTTCATAAAATCAGCCCAATTTCTCTTACGAAGGCTTGGTTTTGGCGAGAATCCCCGCGATTTGTTACAAAATCATCCCCAAAATCAATACTATGCACTAGGGTTGCCGCGGGTGGTAAAAAAACTACCGACTGCAGAGAAGGTTGATACATTCGAAATGTACGATTCAAACAGTTAAACCGTGTTACTAATTATACCTCGGAAACAACACCTGCCCTCGTCTGCTTTTGGCTCGTTAGTTCAACAGCTTTGTTGTTCATACAATTGATAACGATATCCTGTCTCCAGTAACATGATTGATGTTATCAGGTCCTACAAATGTTGAACGTATTGTGAAATTATCATTCTCAATAAAACCAGCTCACTTGCTATTCAACTTACCCCAGACGGTTGGCAGGATTGTCACCGCAAATTATTCCTTCTCCTGAGCGCAACAGAAGCAAAATGTATCAAAAACAGTTAATTAGCGCCATCTGTATTGCCGTCATCTTGGTGACGGGTAATTCAAAATATTTGCATGGATACATACATGAATTACGTTAAACGTTTTAATTAACGTAGGTTGTCCAACATCAATGGCAATTTCAAATGGTGAAACCGCAAATCATTGCGAATTTCCGTACGTTGCATACATGGACAGAGTTCTATTCGGTGATCCAGTCTGTTCAGGAATTATTATTAATCCGGAATGGGTTCTTACTGCGACATATTGTCTGCGATTTGAAACCACTGGCATTTCCTTCACTGCTGGGGTCACAAATGTTTCAATTGTTGGCGAAGGTGAGCAATTGAGTCGCGTAGTCGCAACGATTATTCACCCCAATTTGTGAGTGTATCGTTATATTTCAAACCTCTCTAAATTATTTGCCTAATCAAGTGCGATTTTAATAATAAATTTCATAGTACCCAAGAATCTACGCATGGATTGGCACGAAACGACATCGCCCTTTGCAAAGTGTTTCCTCCCTTTGACTTTAGTCAGGATGGAGTTGGGCCAATTACTCTACCAAATAATGAGGACGTCGTAAATGGTAAGGTGTAAGAAGACATACTGCAATTTCAAATTTGCAATTAGCATCCCAATATTACAGAAAGCTTAACGTTAATGGGATGGGGAGAGATTAACTTGAACTACGAATTCAATCCGGTTCTGCAAAAGGCAGATTTTATCCGAGAATCTGATCAGCAATGTATTCAATCATATCCAAATGAATGGGATGCAACCATGTTGTGCGCCTCAGGGACTCTGGGTCGAGTTGGGATATGTTATGGGGACACTGGAAGTCCACTAACCTATCGAAGGGAAGAAGACAACCGAACAGCGCTTTATGGAATTGCGTCCCGTTATACAAATCCTGCTTGTGAGAGGAACAAATCAAGCATGTTTACTAAGGTGAAACCATATGTGGACTGGATTCAGGATACAATTTGTAAGGTTTAATTATGTATAATATTTATTTAATTACTTATTAAAATTATTTTTTTTATTAAAAAACCCTTTCCTAACAGTGAATTATAATGAAACCGATCCCATATCCTGGGCAGAAAGTATCAACACCTGTGGCGGCGTGCTGGTCGGATCTGCAGGTTTAATTAGTTATAAAGTTGGTCAAGTCTACAACTCAAAGGAAACTTGTGTCTGGACAATCCGACCCACTCCTGGTAAAAGAGTTACCATGGCGTTCAAAGAATATGGCATCCGATCAGGAGGATGGGTTTCGAAGGCAAGAATTTTTGATGCAGAAGGATTAATTGGTCCAAATGACAAGATTGTCCCTGGAACGAGTTATGGGCAAAACGCTGAGGTAATCTTCATTACATTCTACTCAAATGGGAACCCATCAAACGGGACTGGATTCGCGCTAGAATTTGAAGGAGAAATGAGACCAAATCCTGCTGGATTGAATCATTTAAATGATAATTATAATTTGGGCTCAAATACCATTGTTACGGTTTCTCATCCCAGTGAGATTGATGATAGATATGGGAGTAATGAAGTGTCAACGTGGGTCGTGCATAATAGAGAGGTGCAGACTGCATTAAGCGTTAATATTACACGACAGGACATTGATTGTGGTGGAGATTTATTGAGAATTTATTCTCTTATTGGAAATGATGCAAGCTTTAGACAGGATGTCGAGTAAGTAGAGATGTGCAAACAGTTGTGTAATTTTTTGAGGAATTAAAATTATAATTGTATTTATATGAGCAGATCATGTGGCAGTGTGATCCCAGGGAGAACATTCATTGCGGAGGATAATGTGATGATTGCCGTTTTCAAAAGTGATAGCATAATGGAGAGGAAAGGATTTGCTGCAAATTTTTTTCAAGGATGACTAGAAATTTATGGAGTTTATGAAATTGACAATTTTAAATATTTATAATGATAATTAGCCATGAATAAAAAATTCGATAAATTTGAAATCCTGCGTACATCGCATTTCCAACAAACCTGTTTATCGATCTCAAATCACCTAGAAACATACTCATATTGAAATAGTAAGAGTGGGAGGGGTCTCACCTTTGGTTGTTGATTTTCGGATGTAGGCCTTTTCGTCAACGTTTCTAACCTTCTTGGTTCTTCTACAGGACGGCGGAGATTTTATAGGTGACGACTCACTAGGTTTATGATGATTAGTGAGGGTGAGGATGGAAATAAAGAAGGAGAGAACGAAAATACCGCGACTCCACAATTGTGGGCGACGCGGTATTTCCTTAAAATTACACTCATCATACATGATAAAATTAAACTGTGCATACATGTGTAACATTAATTAACCTAACCCACCAAGGTACGGAATCCATAGGAACCAATAAAATTGCTACTCTAACATTATTATTTTATTCAAATGGAAACTTTTGTTCCTTAGGTAAAACGAAACATAATTTTGTTTGTTTAATTTTTAAATTATTTTTCAACACGGCGCCCCAATCTCGACCAAGGGTCCCTCGTATACTTTCAGCTTATCGTCGCCATCCGGTGTCAGCTGGTCATTTATGTAGGTAAAAATGTGAATGTAAAAATATATTACGAACGGGGTTAAGAAGAATGGAATAAAGAAACAAATCCAAAGCATAAATTTCATCCTGAGTTCTATAATTCTATAGTTATGGGTTATCTGACAAGGAAAACCACCGAAGGTGTCCAACGAGTTAAGGGTTAACACATATACCAAAATGTGCACAATAGATGACTTCTATCGTGAACTATCGTGAACGTGTAAAATTCACTTTTCGTCAAGTTGTGACGATGTTTGTGACGAGCGCGTGACTATCGAGCGCAATGAGTTTCCTGTGGAGTTCGACTCCGCTCATCCTCACCTTGACCTTGTTGATGAAATCCATCACCAAAACCTACATACAAATGTTTTGATATAGTTATTGTTTTTAATTTAATAGGTTTTTTGTTTTTTCAAAATCTCAAAATTTTTCAAAATCAAGATCAAAATTTTTCGAAATTTTGAGAAAATTTTGAAAACATTATGAGATTTAAAAAAATAAAAATCCAATTAAATTTAAAAAAAAAATTAAAAACAAGAACGATATCAAAATATTCGTGGGTTCTGGTGATGGATTTTTTCATCAACAATATCAAGGTGAGGATGAGCGGAGTCGAACTCGCCTGGAAACTCATTACGCTCGATGGTCACGCGCTCGTCACAAACATCGTCACAACTTGACGAAAAGTGAATTTTACACGGAAATTCTTTCAGTTCACCAAAGGAGATTGAGAAGGCAACCTTTACCGGGTTGCACGAGAGCATAGCCAAAAGCGTTACGCTCAGTTAGAGAGATACGTAGAAGTTGTGCTCATACACATAAAGACAAGGCGAGCGGAGAGATCCCGTCCTTGTCTGGACCTGGCTTACCAAAGTCTAAAGGGGACTTTGGGGCCGGGTTAATAAGAATGGCCAATGCTTTTAAGATATGCCATGTATTAGTTATGGAGCGGTGGAGAGGAGCAAATTAGAAAGTCTAGTCAAAAAAGGTTGTGTTGCTACCCCACTCTAGTTGAAGAGATTCCTACTCACGCTGTATAAGAGTTATGCGGTGGACTGGAGTCGAAGTAGGAAAATGATGATGATGCACATCAAAAGTACATAACTAATAGGGAATTTATTGTCGTAAGAATGTTAATAAGCTGAATAAGGGCTTTGAGCCGCTACCTCTGTAATCAGTGGTAGTGCCAATTTCTGGCTTGTTAGTTAGAGAGAGAATACATACATACATGTGCATGGGGAGTTGACTCGTCGCGAGTCAAAATCATAGTGGGCGATTTGGAGCTCGGAAGCTCCTTAAATAGTGAGCTGCGGGTATCTCACCCGCATAACCTATTTGGCCTTCACGGCACAATTAACCAAAACCAGTCTCTGGCTTCGGCTAGACATTTATAATTTAATTAATTAAGTCGACGCGACGGAATCCGCGTCGTGTAGGCTTTCAGCCCTACAAGGTGTCGACCCTTAAATCGTTGGACACCTCGGTAGTTTTCCTTGTGAGTTGCGCCTAATTCTAGAAGAACAGGCATAGAAAGACGATTAAGAACATGTTAAAAATTGCAACCTTTTGCTTCCATTTGAAAGTCAATAATGTAATTTGTAATTACGCATGCTACCTGGGGTGTGAATGCGATAACAAAGCTCATCGGGAGAAATTCCGCCGCGAAGATAGCACTAAATATCATGCTGAATTTCCTTATCATTTCAAAATTGCTGGGTTCTTTTGAACCCTTGGAAAAAATTTGGTGAATTAAAAAAAAACAGATGGTAGTGAAGACAGCCGTGAAGAGAGTGCTGGTTACTATTAAATAACGCGCTTTTTTCGTCATATTCGAAATCATGCGGTATTATCGTTTGGAAACGGACACTTTGAATATATGGAGGTGACATTTTCTTTCGTAAAGATTTGTATAAAGCTCAAATGTTGCCACATTCCGAGGGTAGCCATCCTGTTGGGTTAAAGGCTTGGAAATATTAGAGTTTTTTTTTTGTATCGACAAGGATAAGGTATGTCTTCATTTCATAGTGCAACGCACTGAATTACATCCCCGTTTCAAACAGGTGGTGATTAACTAAATATGTAGTTGGTCATGCATGTCTGTACTTAATTTATGTATGCTTCGGTTTCAAAATGAGGACTAATTTAATTATAAAAACTACATATACACACATAACTAATTAAATTATGTTCACGTACATTTTGAACGAAACACAATTCCAGTTTATATAAACTCCGAAGCTTGAAATTCAAGAATTTGCCAATTATTTACATGCTCATGCGAATAGAAGAAATTGGGCAAGGACAAATTGGAAGAGGCTTGTGAAACCAGTTTGTTGCTGTTTTATACATTTGATAAAAAATAAGGTTCATTTATTTTTATTGTGTACATGCATATGTTACATATGATATGTAGCACAGCTTAATTGGAAGAAGAGAAAGAACATTGTGACTATACATATCGTAGTACTAATTCTAAAAAAACGTAAGTGCAGCCGATGCTTAATATTTTAAAAAGACGTAAGTGCAATGTTATTCTTATGAACTTACGTCTTTTTTAAAATTAAGCATCGACTGCACTTACGTCTTTTGAGAAATAGGACTACGATATGTTGATAAATTTGCTACCGCTACCTATCTAGTCAATACTACATTACATGCATGTAAATATGCACATACTCATAATCTTGTTAAAAACATGTCCACTGAAAAAAATTTGGTGTTTTTATGTGTAAATACGTGGCTACACCGACATGGTGTAGGTATGTACATATTTGTCATCGCTGGCAAGACTAATTGTCACCAACCGGGTACATTAGCTTCGTGACAATTTGTAACCAATGTGGTGTTGCCAGCCACAAATCTTGGTTTGTGTATTGTATTCAATATAATGTACTGTATATCTGTATTTTCTTATGTACATATATGTTTATGTATATGCACAATTGCTGAATTTAAAGCAATTGTTTACTCGCCCAAGTCAACTCGCCAACTTTAATTAATGCACGTTGACTAAAAAATATTTTACGGAGTTTAATAAGAAATTTATCAAAGTATTATAAGCACATATGTACATATTTCGATATGCGAATATTAATTGTTGACAGGAATAGTTCTACAAATCGATAAATTAAACTTCACATATGTTTGGACCCACATATTCATATATATATATTCAGATATATTATATATGTATGTGTGTATATATTTATGTAACTAGCCACTGTTTACAAAATCCGTATCTTATTTACGTGTTTATGCAGGCATGAATGAATCTTTAGCGCCACCCATTATTTTGTCAGCAATTTAATCAGGTTTATCTGGAAACCATGAAATTCGACCAAATGTGTACAAAGCTATCCTATATGTTCGCCGTTATGAATGTAGAATTTTAATTACATTAGTGCTCCAATGTTTCATACATAAATAATATCGTATACATCAACCAGTAATCAGTAAATGCCTATCGATTATTTGGTAGAAAAAAAATATGCTCAAAACCTACACAAGTATGCAGAGCTTCCAATTCCGGAAGAATTTTTGAATCTAGAGAATCAGGATCGCAGATTGGGATCCCGGTTTTAGTGAGCCCAAATCCGGGGAAATTTACCGGATTTTCACACATGTAGATTATTGCTACTGACTGACAGTAGTACTGACAGTAGTACTGACAGTAGTACTAAGTATATATTAATTTTTAACATTTGGTTAATAACGATTGCTTTTCAAATACTAAATATGCACTTAAAATGTTACAACAAAATAGTTTGCCACAAACTATTTGTGGGGTTTGCTTTTAAAAATAGGATCGCAATAAACAAAGGTTATTGTTATTTCATCAAGTTTAGACTCTAGGCAGGTGACAACAATACCCACCAGTGGCAAACATACATATGTCTATTCCTTACTACCCTCAATTTGAAATATTACGAGTATTTGAGGGCCTCAAATACTCGTAACATTTCGTTGATAGATGAAAACATTTTGAACCGCATTCCTTAAAATTAAGTTTGCAGTCAAGTCGGGACATAGATAGTAATTCCAGTCAAGCGATGCCATCACAAATTCGTTTTCGTCTAATCAGACTAGCCTCCATTGCCTCCCTCCTTCCCCTTGGGATGGTTGGTAAGAATGTTGCAGCAATTACAAATAATGACTACCCAAGTTTTCAAGAAATTATCAAAGGTCTTGAAAATTGCGAAGTTCAATTATCCCATGACGGATTGCCCTCATCCTTTTTCCACTCTTCGAATGACGCTGACTTTATGCATGTACCAATTGTACTTGTTTTTGTCACAAGATCCAACAAAAAAAAGAATGCTGAAATAATAACGACATATCAGCTAGGCAAGAGAGACCCATCCAGGGTGAAAGGGTTGTACTGCAG